TGCAGTGAGCCGAGATCCGGCCACTGCACTCCAGCCTGGGCGACAGAGTGAGACTCCGTCTCAAAAAAAAAAAAAAAATTGAAATGACAACCAAACTACTATCAGTCTTATCACCAACAGTGAATGCAGAAGGCAATGTCTTGCATAAACATTCCAATCTAGAGTTTCCAACCTAGACAATCTAGCAATCAAGTTTGAAGGAAAATTAAGCACATTATCAGAGCCACAGTAAGTAACAGCCTAAGAAAGTGTTATGTATCTAAGAATCAGAGGCTCCAACACAGGAGAAGAGTGATGCAAAGTCCATGGTTGAGAGCTATATGTAAGAGGCTTAGAGGGAAAGTCATCCTGATCACAAGAGCAGAATGAAGGGCTCCAAGGAGTATAAATAAACCCTAACCATCTTGCCACCAGAGCACTGTTCTTTGGAAGGTTCACAGCATTTGAAATTAGACCTGTTAAAAACAAAAAGTAACAGTAATCTTAACAAACTACTTGGAAGGTCACTGATATTTATAAACCATAAAAACAAGCATTCAATAGTGTCACTTCAAAAATCAAGCTATAAGCAAAATAATAAGATTTGGCTATAATCACAAGACAAAAGTATTTTGATAACATAACTATAGCGGGCATAAAGTGGGGTTCTCCAGGATGGAAGAAAAAAAGGAAAGACATAATGTCAAAAGGAACAGACATATTAAAGCTATAAATGTTATCATTATAAGACATAACATTGATATTTGCTACCACATGCATGTACTGCTTTTTTTTTCTTTCAAATAACAGACTGGAGAAAGAGCTACGATAATTATATACATTAAACACCATTACTAGCTGGGCACAGTGGCTCACACCAACACTTTGGGAGGCCGAGGCAGGTGGATCACTTGAGATCAGAAGTTCGAGGCCAGCCTGACCAATATGGTGAAACCCCATCTCTACTAAAAATACAAAAATTAGCCAAGTATGGTGGCATGCGCCTCCCAGCTACTCAGGAGGCTGAAGCGGGAGAATGGCTTGAACCTGGGAGGCAGAGGTCACAGTGAGCCGAGATCACACCACTGCACTCTAGCCTGGGTGACAGAGCGAGACTTCGTCTCAAAAAACAACAAAAAAAAAATTATGAAAAGGTGCAAAGGATATAAAAAGGCAATTCAGAAAAATGTAAATTAAAACAACTAATATTTTCTTTACCTGATTAATAAAAATTTAAATTCTTTGTTTTTTTTTTTTGAGACGGAGTCTCACTCTTGTTGCCCAGGCTGGAGGTTGGCTCCCGGCAACCTCCGCCTCCTGGGTTCAAGCCATTCTCCTGCCTCAGCCTCCCAGGTAGCTGGGATTTACAGGCTTGTGCCACCACACCTGGCTAATTTTGTATTTTTAGTAGAGATAGGGTTTCGTCATGTTGGTCAGGCTGGTATCGAACTCCTGACCTCGGATGATCCACCGCCTCAGCCTCCCAAAGTGCGGGGATTACAAGCGTGAGCCACCATGCCAGACCAAGATTCTTAATTGTTGTCAGCAAGGGTATACAGAAAATGGTAGTTCACACACATGTAAACATAAACATAACTTTTGAAAACATTCAGCCTTCTTTACAAAAACTCTCTAAGGGAAGGGAAGACACAAATATGAAGTGAATTAGATGTCCAACAATAGGAAAACTGATAAACTGATATGGTTATCTTAGAAAATACCATACAATTTTTAAATCTATAGATTTAAAATTTCCTACTGCTGAAGGAAAAAATAGCAACTTGCAGAATAAGGTGGAATTGGAGCGGAAGTGAAAAAGCACAAATGTGCCTCATTTTTATTTTAAAACAAAACATTTTGGTTGCAGATTAAAGTCTACTGACATAAGAAAGCACCATTTTAAAAAGTCAAATCTTTCTGAGCAGTGATTTAGATCTAGTCAAGAAGTTCACATCTTCACCTCCTTAAGACTCCCCTTTTGTGATCTATTTAGTGGAGCATTAAATACCTAAATACATTTGGGAGAAGGTGCTAAATACCTCCAGTAGACTCAAAAACAGATAACTGAAAGTTTCCAAGACCAGCTGAAAAAAAATCTTAAAAAATTCAAAACATTTTAACACTATTGATTTGAAACATTCCTATCATGGTATATTATGAAGCTTCACTTCCACATTCAAGAAACTAGATCTCCTCAATATAGTATATGGAATTTATAAAAGTATTAACTAACATCAGCATTTGAGTCAGAATTTAGGCTGTGGTAAGATCCTAGGTTTTACAGCTAAGATTGCTGATTTGAAAACCCAGCGATCTTCACTGGAAGAACAAATACACATTTTTATCTGACTTCATTTGGGAAGCCTTGAGAAGCACTCTACTAACCCATTCAGGAAAACACAGCCTCTTCAGAAGCATAACAGCATAGAAAATGATGCAAATATGTGCATCATTCCACTATACCTATAGCACTCGCTTTTCAGCCAATACTAGAATGACACATGCAACCTAACACTCAACCTTATAGGCCTTCCATTTCATCTTCAAGTGTTTGCAATGTATGATTAAGTCTTAAAACTTGCCTGTAACTGATGTTTTAGGATTCAGTGTAAAAATGCTACTGCCCTTCCATCCTAACCCTGTTATTTTTTTTAAGCCAGAAATTGCTATTATAACTGCTATCATTTAGCAAGTAAATTGATACAAATACTTAAGTAAATGGTACAAATATTTAAATAGAATTTCTTAATCATCCTCATGGAAGTAAGCAAAATAACTGGAAGATTTAGATTATTTTCATCAAAATATTACAGAATCAGGAATATAAACATTAACACATTAATATACACACATAGCTCAATCTATCTTCTCTGTTTCTCCTCCCAGTTTACAAAATAGGATCCTTTATCATAGTTTCTGAAAATCAGCCAGCTCCATGAATCAAATTAATACCATTTATTTCCTCCATTTAATTATCTCTTCTATTATTCCGCATCTTAAAGACAGCGGCAAATGCCATTTACTTTGTTGCCTAAGTGCCAAGTAGGCTTCTGGTTTAAAACATAATAATAAAATTGTGCCCTTTACAAGTACGTCACATTTGTCATGTCAGAACAAGCTTTCCCATAAAGATTTATAGGATAAATGATGTGCCCTTAAATAATGAGGTACTGGTTGCCAATGTCTGTGTGTATGTGTGTTTAATGGTCCTTTAATGACTTGTCTTTGGAATGATTCTGTCCTACCTTTGCTGCTGCAGCCCGCCTGTCCTTTGCATCACTGAATTCATACTTCTGGAAGTACCCAATATGCACTGTAACAGACAGATGGACAGATCAATGGGCCACAGCGGCAAAGGCCAAAGAGACACACTTGATAAAAATTAAAATCAAGGTATATAAAGGGGTGGGGAAAACCAGAAGAAAACACATCTATCTATATTCTATAGTAAAATACCTGAACTTGGTATTTGCAACCATCTCATGCACATATCCAAATAAGTTATTCTTGATTATCACAACAGGCAAAATAAATCAGTATTTTTAATACCAGTGACAGTTACAGATACAGCAGACACTTCTGTAACCAGGCCACACAGTTTCTTCAAATAGAGATTGCTCTTTGGTATATAAACTATCACATCCATAGAAGGCTTTCTGCACCAAAATTAAAATGGTAATTATTGCAAACAGGAAGTTTCTACTGTGACACTAAGGTCCGTGTGCTTTTATGTTTGTATTTCAGCATTTTGCCATTCTATACTCCTGCCTTTATAAAAACAGTTGCTAGCACCACATCTAGGTAAGACAATTTTGGGGGCTTAAAACAATATGTAACAGTATTATTTAGGTCAATTACCAAGCTATAACAGTAAGACATTTATATACAAAACTGCGGCCGGGCGCGGTGGCTCAAGCCTGTAATCCCAGCACTTTGGGAGGCCGAGATGGGCGGATCACAAGGTCAGGAGATCGAGACCATCCTGGCTAACCTGGTGAAACCCCGTCTCTACTAAAAAAAAAAATACAAAACACTAGCCGGGCAAGGTGGCGGGCGCCTGTAGTCCCAGCTACTTGGGAGGCTGAGGCAGGAGAATGGCGTGAACCCGGGAGGCGGAGCTTGCAGTGAGCTGAGATCCGGCCGATGCACTCCAGCCTGGGCGACAGAGCGAGACCCCGTCTCAAAAAAAAAAAAAAAACAAAAGAAAAAAAACTGCACAGTGGCTCAAGCTTGTAATCCCAACACTTTGGTAGTCTGAGGTGGGAGGACTGCTTGAAGCCAGGAGTTTGAGACCAGCCTAGGCAACAGACCCCATCTCTAAAAAAAATTTTTTTTAAATTAGGTGGGGTGGTGTGTGCCTGTAGTCCCAGCTGCTCAGGAGGCTGAGGCGGAAGGACTGCTCGAGCCCAGGAGTTGAACGCTGCAGTGAGCTGTGATCACACCACTGCACTCCAGCCTGGGTGACAGAAAAACAGTGTCTCTTTAGGAAAAAAATTGTAGGATATATTTTTGTATAATATACATATTTGTATATCATAGTTTATATATCATATATAGTTACATCTCAAGAAGCTTCTAAAAGCTATTTTTAAAAAACAAACCTTAAAACAATGTCTCAAAATTCTAGCTCAAGCCAGTATAAATACTGTGCTTTGACACAGAATTTTTTAACCGACATTAACCCAAATACCCTGTCTGATCTGCCTTCACCAAGAGCTTACAATCATGAAAGAGCAATTTTAATTTAATCAAATGTTTTATTTTGCATGCATCTAAAATAAACTAGATCCATGCTACACATTTAAGGAAGTTTCAGGAAACTTTTGTTTATAGGAGATCTAACCATTTGTATATTCTTTCGTGTATAGGAGATCTAACCATCTGTATATTCTTTACTATTTTAACCCATCAAGAACATGGGCAAATAAAGAGACATAATAACCAAATGCAATCCATGATCTTTGACCTAAAGAAGAAAAACTATAAAAGACATATTGGACAGATGGGGAAAATTGAATTAGATTTTTTTTCTGTGACAACTTGAGATATACCATGAAATTAACTCTCAAAAGTAGTTCAGTGGTTTTGATTATATTCACAGAGTTGTGACATAGTTGTGTCAACCATTAATTTTAGAACATTTCATCACCCCACGAAGAAACCCTATACTCATTAGCAGTCACTCCCCATTTCTCCCACTCAGCCTCTGACAACCACTGATCTACTTTCTATCTCTATAGATTTGCCAATTCAGGACATTTTGTATAAATGATATCACACAGTATGAGAGCTATCGTGACTGGTTAATTTTGCCACTTAGGCCTACAAGCTGAGAGCCTGTCATGAACACTGCCCAGGTCTGTTTTACTGAGTAAATGGAGAGCAACTATTAACTATTCACCAAGTCAGTTAAATGAAAGTTGCTTAAAGCTTTAACTATACAATCACAATACTCACAGATGATGAAACAGAATGTATTAAAATCATATTACATACGAAGTCACAGAGCTGGTAAAAGGCAAAGCTGGAACTGAATGTGGTTCTAAATGATACCAAAGACTTAATCACCAAGTTTTTTTTTTCTCCTAATAATTCATCATTTCTCACTTGTATCTTGAATGCCTTCTCTCCTCCATTCCAGCCTTGCTAACCCATTTCTTTCACAAGTTATTCTAATGGATTACTCACTACTACTCTCCCAGTTTCCTAATCTCACCCTGTTCTCATTTATTTCCTGTAGTACCAACAGAGCGGCCTTTTAAACTCTAATCCCTTATTAATTTAAAAGTTTAAAGTTGTTTCATATAGTCCTAGTGAATTAAGTCCATCGCAATAGCACTCACTATGCTAAAGGCTTTCATAAACTGATCACACTGCCTGTCTAGCATCACCTCCTACCACTCTACTTCCCAGTAATTTCAGCAATATTCAATTCCTTATTGTTCATTCAACATACCAGAACTTCTTCCATTCCTTTTCCTCCTTGGTCTGGAATGCCACCTCTAACCCCATCTGCCTAGTAAGCTACTATTCGTTTTTCAAGATTCAGCTTCCTTCCATTCCTACCAGCAAGTCAGTCCTCCCAGAGAACAGCATTAAATACTCCTTCTCGACCTTATGCTTCTACTGTGAAACATATCATCACATTGTACTTTATTTATAGATTATTTCTTAAAGAGTTGTCCATTATCTGTATTCCCCCAGCAGTGTGGCAGCTAAAGAAATCTCAACTGACAAAAATAAATCAAGTACTCAATTTACAAATGGTTCCCAATTACACTGAAGCATTACTTTTAGGGACCCACTAACCTCAGAAATTTATAAAGTAACTATAATATATTTAGGATCTTATAAGAAATATAAAAATCAGGTTGGGGAAGGGTTCTGCATTTACGAGAAAAGCATTAAGACATCAACAATACTGTGAGGGAAGGAACCAGGTAGTTGAGGTATAAAGGTAGATGTATGGGTTTTTTAAATCTTTTGTGCTTTTTGAATTTGAGCCAAGAAAATACATGTATGCACAGTCAAACAATAAAAAAATTTGGAATCCTTTTAAAAAGTTTATAAACAGTCACTCTTAGCACACTAAGACTGTTTTAACTTTAAAAAAAAAAAAATCTGAGGTTATGGAGAAGAGCTCAGTATACAACTTATTTCTATATTTTGTTTTGTACATAGAATGAAGAAAAACCTGATTCACAAAGATAAGTTTGCAACGTAATTTCAATATTCTTTGCTTAAAATGATCTAGAATCTTTAAAAGGGTACTACAAAACATTTTATTCAGAGCTAACTAGGTAACTGTCTAGAAAGTGCTTTTATTTTTATAAATTCTGAGTTGGAGGAAATATACAGAACTCAAAACTATTAATAAAATAGTAACATCAAGATGAATTACTTGGCCAGGTGTGGTGGCTCATGCCTGTAATCCCAGTACTTTGGGAGGCCGAGATGGGCGGATCACAAGGTCAGGAGATCAAGATTATCCTGGCTAACATGGTGAAACCCCATCTCTACTAAAAATACAAAAAAAAAAATTAGCCGAGCGCGGTGGCTGACGCCTGTAGTCCCAGCTACTCGGGAGGCTGAGGCAGGAGAATGGCATAAACCCGGGAGGCGGAGCGTGCAGTGAGTCGAGATTGCGCCACTGCACTCCAGCCTGGGTGACAGAGTGAGACTCCGTCTCAAAAAAAAAAAAAAAAAAAAAAAAAAAGATGAATTACTTATTAATTTGTTACTGCAAAACCCACCAACCCTTCAGTATCTACAATGAGGGTATGAACAGATCTGCCTGGTATTTATTTAATTGAACACGGTGTACATGTGCTGCTGTAGTGTTCTACCTTATGTAACTTTGCCTCAACAGACATGCACAGGCCTCAATCCAAAATACCAGTGAAGAATAATCTTTCTAATCAACAATCCCTAAGAAGTAAACCCAGAATAAGCAGCAGCTTTATTCTGGGTTCTGACCCCCCAAAAAAAATGTTAGTCTGGATTAGGTTACTGCATTGCTAGTCTCCAGTATGTTCAATAAATCTTTAAAATTATAGAATGGCTATCATGAGAAGGATTAGAACCAGATAGGTTCAGGTAAAAAGCTACAGGAAGACAAAATCAGAGTATGAAAGAACTCTAAATCAGAGCTGTTCAAATATTAAGTGTGCTCACTTCTGGAAGTGGCTGTGAAGGTTTAGCCACAGGAGACACTTAAGAATAGTCTATAGGACAACTTACCAGGGAGGTAGTACTTGATATGTGGTTGGCTAGGATAACTGTTAGGATCTTTCCAACCTTGTTAATTTGACTCTACGTGAATCAAAAACTGTGTTTACTGTGGTATGAATCAAAGATTAGGCAAGCTTACTGTTTCCTTAAATCTTCAAATATTGCTTAATATTATACTTTCATTCCTAAGGTTGACTAGAAAACTTCTGTATATTTAAAAGTCCTATTTTCACCACTTTGGCTTTATAGCTGGGTAGAATGCAACATTATAATCAAGCCTCATACATTATCATATATCCTAAGGACCCAGCTATTATATTAATGCAATACAATTAGAGATTATTATTAAAACCAGACATTTTTAGAGCCAATGAAATGTAATTATTACATTTAAAAATTCTGTAACAAAACAGTGACTAAAATTTTGTACATACGTTCTTTTCAAAGGAACATTTCCAAATTAAATGACTAGTAATTTGAGCCTCACTCCCTAAGTTTTCCCCTTCATAAGAGGTGGTGAAGAGTAGGTTAAAAAGTAAACATATTTTCCCACATTTGAAGTTAAATGGCATTAGTAATAAG